TGACTTTCCCACTCTCCACGGGTGCGCCCTCACCTTGAGTACTGTGTGCAGTTTTGGGAGCCTCAACATGAGGAGGACACCAGACTATGAGAGTGTGTCCAGAGGAGGGCGACCAAGGTGGCGAAAGGCCTCAAGGGCCAGACTTAGGAGGAGTGGCTGAGGTCACTTGGCTTGTTCAGCTTGGAGAAGGCTGAGGGGTGACCTCATCGCAGTCTGCAACTTCATCAAGGGGGGCAGCGGAGGGGGAGGTGCTGATCTCCTCTCTCTGGTGACCAGTGATAGGACACGAGGAAATGGGATGAGGCTGCGTCGGGGGAAGTTCGGATTGGACATTAGGAAAAGGTTCTTCACAGAGAGGGGGGGCCAACACTGGAACAGGCTCCCGGGAGTTGTGGCCACCACAAAGCCTGTCAGAGTTCAAGGAGCATCTGGAAGACGCTCTTAGTCATATGGTTTAGTTTTAGGTAGTCCCGCAAGGAGCAGGGAGTTGGACTCAATGATCCTTATGGGTCCCTTCCAACTTGAGATATTCTATCATTCTATGAAAGATGAAAATCTGTTTGGTCACAACCATATTAATACTCTACACAAAACTTGCAGCTGTCACGTCATAAAAAGCATTACAATCCCAACAGTCACATTTTATGTATATCTGTATAAAGGAGTTTCCATTGCAAAGTAAAACACTGAAGGCATTTAGAATTTAATAGGTCTAGTACTGAAACATCTCAAAAAGGCATTTATTTATAAAATAAAGACCATTTTCTGCAAAGTCAGAATACTACTTTGCATCAGACCTAAGGAAGCTGCTTTTTCAACATTTTGAAGATGACATTCAGACTGCTTAGGATTCACTTTTAATGGTATGAAAACACTGTATTTGATTCAATTCACCCTCAGGTCTGGATAATGCTATCATAAATCACCATCTAAGAAAGTAAACTCATTAACCTTTTTTTCTGACCTTTCAAGCAACTGTTTTTGAATGTCCTGCATTCTCTATTTTCAGAAACACACCCAGGTAGTAAGGACAACAGCTGTACACTTAGTATTCCTTAGCTTCTAACTGCACCATCACCTCATTTCAGTGCTAGACGACTGTGAGGATAGCAAGCAGCTTGCCCAACAGCATGCAGAAAGTCTGCAGGACATCCTCCCAACAGAACCAAGAAGCTCATGGCTTGCAACCAACTCATTAACAAACCTGAAGGATACTCACAATTGTAGTTTAGCATTTATTCAAAGCTTCAGCCTGGCATTTTTAGAAATTAATGTTATGGGTTTAGAATTACAGGCAGATCTGACGAAGGTACCTATGGCTAAGGTTTCCTAGCACTTCATGAGGCCTCCTTTCAGCTGCTCAAAAATTAGATCCAAAGCCCTGAAATACTTCTGCTGTCACCATAACCTCTGAAACCCACTGGCTGATCATCTCACACACTGTCATACGACTACCCTCACTAGTTAGAAAAAATACCTGCTTTCTTCCAGCACCATCAGTCATTAACTTTGTGTTGTTAACCTAACTACTTCAAATCTGATAACCCTGGGGGAAAAGAAAGAGGGGAAGAGAGGAAGGAGTGTAAAATTCCACTAAAACAATTCTTGCATTTTGACTTCCAGAAAACTGCATATTAAAAGTATATGCCAAAAGAACATGTACAAAGTTATACATCCACGTGCTCATCAGTTAGGAACTACTAAAATGCATGTGAGAACTTCACATTTGTACCACCACATCCAAGAACAGGATCACGTATTACTCCTTCTCCCTCCCAGCGTCCCTGAACTGTGCCGATGCTGCTGCTCTGAGCAGGAATCAGAACTGCTGTGCTTTCTGCTCCCATTCCAACTACCACGATGACTACTCAAATAAAAAGTCACTTTGTGGGGAAGACGTAAATGACACCTGAGTGAACTGGATTCCGTCCTCACCACTGCCACAGAAATCTCTGTGTTACACCAGACAATTATTTAATCATAGTTCTTCTAGAAATGACTACTGCCTATTTCCCATCCTCTAGATGAGAAACCGAGATTGACTCACAGATGCATTAGACATTTCCCACTGCAAATGAAGTCAGTCAGAGTTATGTTCTGAATGTATTAAGAACTATACAAATACAAAATCAAATTCTGGAACTAGAAATGTAGTTATCATGAATTAGAGTCTCTTTTAAAACTCATTTTGTCAATGATCACTAAGTGTTTTCTTCACACTCTTTCAAATGGGGTGTGAAATTGTACTACTTCGTCTGGGAAGACAGGAGGACTTCCCCTACAAACAGTTTGGGATCTGGGTGTTGTATTTTTTATTCGAACCCCAGGCAGTCATGCTGAAATCAAGCAGCAGTCAGAAAAAAGAGCTGGCTGCAAGAAACTGTACTTTAAACCCATTGCCACTGACAGCCACCTGAATCAAACCTCTGACACAACTTCAAAATCTCCAGGTTATCGCAAAGCATCTTCAGAGTAGCACAAAATGCAGTGATCCTTTCCTTGCTCTTATATAAAGATGCAACAATAGCAAAGACATAACAGTAACTCATAGTCTTCTCCAATTTCATGGAAAAAAAATCTTAGCAGCTTCCAGACCTGAATGTCTCTAGAGACCATGCTGCAGTGTGTCATTAACATACTCATTCATGATTGTACTTTGGCTGCAAAGGCAGGAAGAGTCACTAAATTCTTCAGCAGTGAAGAAATACTGAAGCCAAACCAGGAGTTTAGAATCACATCCCAAATGAACTAGGAAAGTGAATTTAAAATATTAACTTAACTATTTTAAAGATGATCCCTGAGGACAAACAGTAGATGAAGCATCAGGTTTCTATCATTAACAGCCCCTAGCCTAACCCCTCCTTTCGATCAGTACGATTGAGAGAGTCCAATGGCAATTAAACAATTGAAGAGACATTTTTAGTTAAACGGACAGGAGGTAAGCCAGTAAGAAAGACTACCACAGCTGCAGCTGTTGTCTGGCAATACATGAATGGCCACGGGGTTTATTCCATTTGTTTCATAGCGGATAATTTACCCCAAACAGATTTCTGGGTCATACAACAGTAACATTTACATTCCTTATAAGAAAACCCTTCAGATATCTAAACAACTGCAAAAGTTATTTTAATCCTGCTTCCTGTTGACAGAACTTTCAGAAAGCTATCCACATTTTAAAATAAATGGCCCAATTATACAGCACATGAACATTTTAAAAAAACAAAAAAGTATCGCAACATATTTGTGGAAACATTTTAGTATTTGTTACAACAGCAGCTTCAAGGGGAAAAAAAGAAAAACCAAACCCCAAATCCCCCAAACTGCTGCAGGAACGAATTTGCCACAGCTGCTGTTCCCACAGAAGCAGAGCCTCTTGGAAAGCTGTAGAACCATGTAATAATAGTGGAAACATTTAGCGAAAACTGTAAATCACCTCCCACAATCAAGACAGCGTACAATATGTTCTACTAGGAAACCGGAGAAAGAGCTGGGAGATGAAAAGATCCCACAAATACTTACTGGGCCCTGCAGACCTCCATCCTCTCGGTCGATGCTGCTTCTGGAGAGCCGCACATCGGGTTTCTAAAACAAAAATTAAAAATTTCATTCTGTACTCTGCTTACTGATTCACATGACCGAGGCTTAAAATCATTATAGACACGAAAATACCGTTAAAAATTTACACTGACAAATACAGATGTCATTTCATTCCAGTCTATACACCCCCGCTGCTGCGACTACGCGCTCTGCAACTGCAGCTACTGAAACTCCTGGCAGCCTTCTCGACTGCTTCTCAACCACCCATTCTCAGCGCATGTGTAAAAATGCTCGTTATAAATATTGATAGTACCATTTCCCTAACACAACATTGGAAAACCTGCATTTTAATTTTCTCAAAGGCAGCAAAAGTTGGTTTTTTAAAAAAAGTCGTTTGCTTCCCAACGGCAAAATTTCAAGCACGGGATGAGAAACGCTGTGCATTAATTCCCGCTTCCTGCCTGAGGACGGCTTATATGTACTTGGCTCCCTCGCCAAGCCTGCAAATGGGGCCAATTACTGGAGCTCTTTAAACGCTGCATTTGGATACAGAAAGCTAATAAAGACATCCAGATGCACTATTCTCCCGATACAAGCAACAAACAAATGAATTTCTCTTTTATATGTTTTAAGCGATACAGGAACTCGGGGCTTGGTTGTTTTAAAAGTAAAAATAAGACAGGCACTTTTTTTTTTGCATAAAACCCGTTTTTTTTCCCTCATCTCCCCAGCAAATTTAGGTATGTTATACTTATTCTTCGAGGACAACATTAAGTACAGGGAAAGACAAAGGAAAAGCCAACGTGAAACAAAGGTTAATAACACTGAACTTTAGATACAAGTTCAGCAAAATGAGATCGCTTTTCCAGTGCGCTAATTCTGGCACACAACAACAAAGAAAGAGGATTTATCTGACTCTTCAGTTCACTATCCTATGAGTGATGACTTGGAGTTCATTCTCTCCAGAAAATGGATAAAATGCACATCTGCATCAGTGTAAATACAACTTATTTCATATGTCTGTATGGATGTATACATAAAATGGACACAGAGTAAGAATGAAAAATCTTTATTTAGAGAAATGCAGGCATGTGAATATTGGCTGTAACTAAACTGACCCCATGAACAGACACATGTCCTTTCCGGGTCTGTTTTGGGGGACAAATACACCCTCTTCTTGTTTAAAGCTACTCCAGATCCCTTTCCTTCTTTCTTTCTAGAAAGAATTGCTCTAAAGAACAATTCCAACTCGCATATTCTGCTAAATGACCCTAAAAAGCCAGCAGGGCAAACAGAACTTGCAAAGATACGCTAATATTGATCTTTCATCATTAAAAATGCTCCAATTGTGCTGGTAGTTTGTCAGGAGGGCTTATACTTTGGATTTTCATTCAGTCTTCTGCAGACTGTGGCACAGCCAGAGGCACAGCCAGAGACAGTCGCTGCCTGAAAGAACTTGCAGATTAAAAATAGACAAATCATACTAGACACGGAAATATTTAACCCCATCTTAAACATGAAGAACTGAAGCAGACACAAGCAAGCCATTTCCCAATGTTTCTCCAGGAATTTGTGACAAATTCTATAATGAAACCTACCATTGACAAACCTCCAGTTTATTTCCTTTATTATGATGAAGGAATTTTTTCTGATTAAAGTCTCATTTGATATGAGTGTGCTAGCTACTTCATTAGATAGCTAAAGTCGTGATTTTCATTGTATTTTTAAGCGAAAGCAAATAGCAATCCTTGTGTATCTAAGTACATGACATTTCTATTAAACTGATGTTCACAATTTTCCTTAACCAGCCTCCAAAGATAATGAAATATTGAGCATTTTAAAAAATTCATAAGCACAAATGCTAGTCCACATAACAGATTTTCTTCTAGAATTACAAGAAAAAAGGTAATTAACAGACATAACATACACCTCCTCCCCTCCTTGTCTTAATAACAAGGTCCTCACTTTCAGCATCTGAACTCGCTAAACGCCCAAATTCTACAACTTCGCGTCGCAGCAACAAGTCACCACCAGCAGCAAACGTGCAGCAGGTAAGTGGACTTCAGGCCATCATGTACATGAACAGTATACAAACACCTACCTACAGTCTAAGAATCATTTCACAGAAGGGTTGTCATTACACATAAAATATTACTAAAATGAGTATTATTAACTTGACAAACGCTCGCTTCACACGTTGCCGACAAAACCACCGAGTCCTGTTGACTACCCCCATGCAAGCGAAGCCATGGAAGGCGGTGATGTTGCCCAGGCATCTCCAAGAACCTGATCTGAAACCGGAGACACCAAGTGCCAATGGGTAATGGCAAACCAGAGGGTCCACAAGCAGTTTGCCCAGCTACGCAACCCACCTGCATCTCAGCGACCTGCCTATTTACATCTTAGAAGTAAGGACTGAAAATCTTTAGTGGTACATAAACGTAAGCCCTTTCAACTTCTCAAAGCATTTTCTTCCCTCTGCCCCATCAAAACTCAGGTAGTTAGGAACGCAAGGAACAACAGAGAAATATTCAACACACTTTTGTGTCCAATGACTAAGAGGCCTGATTATATTTCTAGTGACTTGACTGTGTTCTAATAAACTCTAACAACTCCCATTTTAGTAAACAATATTCTGATTTATTCATTTGTGTAGCTGTGGAAACTTCAAAAGACAAACTGTTTTACAGTAAAGGTGATAATCTAAAATCAAACTCCTGCTGTATTTTTAAATATTATTTAGCAGCAATTCCTATGCTTCTACAGCGGTAAAAGCTTTAATTTTAGCCCCTCAGGCTGGCATTACATAGCAATGCATTGCTGAATTTTTAATACCGAGATCCTTCAGACGTGTTTAATGCAACATTCTCTAGGTCAAAAATAAGCCTCACACCAAAACTGACTTGTTCTGTACTTTACACACCATTTTACAGCCCCAAAGCTATCTTTCCAGTCCCTGCTATGGCCCTGTACCTCCATGGCAGCCCTCCCGAAAACTCCAGAGACTCCTCCGAATGATTCTCCCATCCTGATGCTGGGCGTATCATTAGACATAGAGAGCTTCCTGGCTGGACAGGAAACAATCCTTTCTGAGAGGCAGCTAAAGGGGCTGGAAACCGGGTGGTGGGTGCTGGAGTGCTCAGCGTGCGTGCATTTATGGAGAACATTTCTGGCACTTGTTGGAGCACAACTGTATTGAGGGTGTACATACAACAAGGAGATGAGCTGGAGGGTGAAAAACCCTGAAGACATCCACTTGGTTGTGAAGCCCCCAAGTAGCTATTAAGAATGTGTGTCTACAAAAGCCCTGCTTAACACTCTCATGCAGTGTCAGACTGTTTCAGAAAATGAAGCCTTTGGGAAACTGGAGATTTGGGATTTCAGCTTTACCTGGAAAAGTTGTCACTTGTGAGTGTATTTTTTTCAAGCCTTGAAGCTAAACAGTGACCGACAATGATGACAAATCATCTTCAGACGTGTTTCACACTCATAGTATGGTGGGAATTCTCAAGCATACAAACCGCAGCGCTTGGAAATTTTTTTTTTTTGGTAGAAGTGCCAACTGTACTGAAATGCAAGTTTAAGCAAAGCCTTTTCTACTTACTTCTATATTCATTACAGATGCATATTTAAGGGAGAACTATATGTTATAAAAATCTTGCAGGAAATCAAAATCCTTCAAAAGTAAATTTTTTTTTTTCTTCATAATAAATAGTCTACTATCTGAAATCTTTGGAAACGTCAAGAGGACTTTTCAGACAGGATGCATATGTTGACAAACTGGAACATAATCTACTTTGTTTCCAGTATTTCTAGTTACTCACTAATAAAAGAACATGTAAGTCTCGGAATTCTC